AACGAGCACAGATCTGAGCGCAGAAATCATCTTACGACAGGGTTCACGTGTCATTTATGAAACATTCGTATGCTGCCAATCCCATCGTACATTGAAAATGTGTCAGCTGAAAACAATCATACGCCCATAAAAATGCATGATTTAGATGCCTTAAATACCGGTAAATAAAACGAAACATTTACAAACATAAAAACTATAAACTAGGCAACAAATTCTTCATATTGAACAGTATTTCACAAGAATGAAAAATAAGTAGCTATAAATGATATATTTAACTATAAAACAATACAAATTAAGCTATAGTGGCATTCATTTTAAACAACAGGCTAATGGGCTCACCTGTTGTCATTATTTGCAATGTAACATTTGGTTGCTATTTGTTAAATCGTAGCCACCACTCACGTCCATATTGATCAAAGTTTTATGTGGAAATGGCCATAGTTTCTTCGCCCAGTTTTCTCTGTCATACGTTTGTTTCACAAATGAGGGCCAGAGAGTGTAAATGAATTCAGAGCTTACACACAAGGTGAACACAATAATAAGATGCATTATATAGATATACATTCCCAGTATACACTTCATATACACTACAGTTCAAAGGTTTGGGGTCAGTACAATTATTTATTTTAGAACAAGTCCCTTATTCTCACCTAGGGTGCATCTATTTTATCAAATACAATTAAAACAGCAATATTGTGAAATTTTATTACAATTTAAAATAACTGTTTTCTATTTGAATACATTTTTAAAAGCAATTTATTCCTGAGTGAGTGAATTTTCAGCTTCATTACTCCAATCTCAAGTGTCACATGATCTTTCAGAAATTTGCTGATATGCTGATTAATAAAAAATGTTTTTTACCTTCAATGGATCCCAGTTGCGAAGCTTCTCTTTCAATAGAGGATGCACAACAGACACAGCTATATCTCCCAAACCCAAAGTCTTATATTCCTGATAGAACTCTGTCTGCAGCTGCTGGAAGACCTTCGCACACTCCTGAAGGCTGAGCGCAGAGCCTCCCTCCGTATCGCCTGCTTCAAAGCTCTCCACTAGGTTCATCACTTGCTCTAGCCGACCAAGAGACTCTTCCTCCTCTGCCAGCCGGACCTGCAGGGCGTCACTCTCATGGGTCAGGGTCACCACAGTGTCCTTCTCATGCTGCAGACGCCGTGCACTCTACACACACAACACAAACCCACAGACCATTCAGGTGAAGTAAGCGGGCATGAATTTTTTTTCTACTAGACAAATCAATAAAAAAACTTGCTCTATGCATCCGTCATTGACCAAAGCAAGGATTTATTATAAAAGGTGCAGAAAGCAATTTCTGAGAAAAGCTGTTGAATGTGGATCGGACCACATCTGTAGCCAATCAGCAATAGGGGGCGTTTATACTCATGATGGAGGAGGAGGAAGAAGGGGGAGCAAGAGGGAGATTTGTCTGTAGAATGAGAGTTGGCTGAGAGACATTATTCTATTTCTGCAAATATATTAGTCTATATTCGTCATTCAAAAAGAAAACCGACGCCGCCTGCTGCAGATACACATACCGTAAACAAGGCAGCGCGTACTTACAGTTTTGAATATCAGTCCTGCTTACCGCTTTCTTTATTCCACTCCGCTCATGTTAATATTGAAATGTTTGCCAAGGAACACTCAGGTAAGATGACATAATATAAGAACAGTCTTCTATCTTTACCGTTTAGACTTCTTTGCTCGCTGTTTTGCTATTATTCTCGTGCATTATTCTTTCACATTATTCTTAAGTGAATTACACGATTAAACATACTGCAAGTAAACTGTGAAGGGTTCGACAGAATGTCCAACTATGAGATTTTTTTTTTTTTTTTTTTAATTATTAATTTTTTCCTCCCACACAACGGCTTTCAAATTCAGGCATCTAAGGAGCACCTAAGTGGTACACCACATGAAATGGACATTTACAAATACTAAAAACATTTAAAATATTAAATATTTATATTGAATAAGTGTTAATTTTTGCTAATTAACTGTCGTTTTTGTGCAGGTGTTTGAGTGCTTTACCTGTAGGATGTCTTGCTCTGTGAGCTCAATGAGCAGCTTGAGGTTATGTTCCAGCTCCGGCAGAGCGAAGCCAGTGCTCTTCTGCTCTCGCGTGGTTACGCTCAAAGGTGCCTCCTCAGGAACACTGTGCTTCTGACTCATATGACTGTAGCTATGATACACCTTCTGCTCTCTGCCCGTCATATCGATCACCTAGAACACAAGAGGGATTGTTTACTCTGGGATATATTTAAATGGTTATTATGCAGTATTCTAATTGTTTTGGGCTCTCACCTTGACCTGAGCAAGTTCTCCAGCAGGTCTGCTCATGCTCTTGTTGGCCAGTTTGCCATGAGCTTTCAGCTCTTCCACAGACTTGTAAGAATATTTGGGCTTTTTCTTTGTCGTTCCCGGGTCTTTACGCCATTGCCCCAACTCTCTCTGAAATTCCTGCAAAGATGGAATGAAGAATAAAAGGACAATTGAAGCAGTGCTAGTAAAAAAAGTTTTGAGGTTTGTGGACCTACTGTTGAATTGTTTAATCCGAAGCTGTTGTTTACTGACCAAAAGAAAAAACTATGCAGTTTTCTCCATGCTGTGTTTACAACAATTGCTTTAGGTTATTGAAATTGCTTATTTGGATATGTGAATCTTTTAAACAACAGTAATGGAGAATTTGATTTGTCCACTGTGATCAAGAATTTGATAGCAATCAAAACATAACCATGTCATAAAGCCAATAAAGAGTACTATTAAATATTGTTTGAGGTTTTTGCAGTTTTGTTTAAATATTACAGTTTATGATTTTTAATAAAGTTATACAAATAATAGTATTTTAATTCAACTTTCAACAGACCCATGGCCACCAAAGCGCTTCACATATATTGCCTCACATTCACCCATTCACTCGTGTTATAGTGTAGACTTACTTGCTCCTCCTCTTCCTCAGAGTCTATAACAGGGAAATCCTGCAGGGACTGCTGGGTCCTCTCATTACCATATGCACCAACTGCTCCCTTCCCCTTCCGCAGCTTAGCTTCAATAGGATTCACAATACCTGCAGACAAAGATATTCACATTATGCTACCGGAAATGGATTTCCGGGTAAGCACACAGTGCATAACATAATTCACAATAAGCTAAATACACTAAAAGTAGTATATTGTGGTATGAAATTTTTTACCCTGAGCATTTTTGCCCAATCCTTTTCCTGGAATGTAACCCATCTTCTGCAAAAGTTTTTGACCAATGCCTCGTGTGTGTTTCTCCCAGGATCCCAGGTCCTGCCCTGTTCTAATACCGCCTGCAAACCTCTGGGATGTCTTAAAGCTCCCACCCTAAAAAGAATTCAAAGACATTTACTATACAGTTCAAAGGTTGGGGTCAGTAAGACTTTTTGAAAGATATAAATACTTCAGCAAGGACATATTAAATTGATCAAATGTGACAGTAAAGACATTCATAATGTTAAAAATATATATATATATATAAATTATAAATAATGCTGAAAAAGAAACGTTTCTTTCGATAGGATCATGTGACTGAAGACAGGACTAATGGTTGATGAAAATTCAGCTGTGCAATACAGAAATAAATTATCTTTTTAAATATATACAAATAAAATTATATTTAACAATATTACTGTATTTTAGAACAAAAAAATGCAGGCTTGATGCGCATAAAAGACTTCAAACACTTTTGAATGGTAGTGTATGAAGATTAGACAAAGATGCTATTGTTGTGTAACATTTGTAGGCATCTCAACATACCGTTTGGAGCTTTTTGGGAACTGCAGTGCGAGGTGGAGGAGGAGGTACATCTCCACTGTCATTGGAATCATCTGAACCCTCCTTCTCCAATTTCTCCTCAGCTGCAGTCTTTCGTATGCCACCACTCACAAAGTTCACAGGAGCTGAATAGTCTTTCGCTCTGTGTGGATACAAATATCAATACTGAATGCTGAATTTATTAAATGACGAATAAAATGATATTCATTCACTACTTAGTCAACAAGGTCTCTAGTAATTTGACAGCTGAAACATTTATCAACAACAACATACCTTTTCCCCCCAAAACTGGGCCGCTCATCATCAGAGTCATGCTCTGCCCAAATCCCATAAGTCACTTCTTCTTTAGTCTGTCTGTGTCTGCGTCTCTCTGGGTTGAACTCATTGGCCAAGTCCCACTCAGTCACCTCAAACTTTTCAATTTCCACACCATCCTCCTCCTCCTCCTCACCTCTACGCCCATACAAATGGGACATAGACATATCTCTGTTGGGATGAAATAATAATATTTACGGCTAGGGTGTTAACAAACTGGGGTCCGAAGAGAAGGAATCACATTAATTAGAGTACTAGGAGGGTCAGGTAGAAGTTAAGAAAAAAACAGTGTAACTCATGTACAAATTAATAAATAAATAACATGAAATAAACACATAACACAACTACCAGTATTATAGAGTAGATAAAAATGTAATATAGTAACTATATACTCACATACTTAGAATGTAATTAGCACTATTTAGCTGTATAAATTGATTTGAGTCACTGTCTTATACATGTATGAATATGTCGAACTGCCTCTTAAAATTTAATGATGTGTGTGCCATGCAAGAGGAAGATGATATTTGGGGGTTCGTAGAGTCTGAAGTTACATATAAAGATGAATCCGCTTATTGTATTTATTAAACTTTGCATATCCACATGATAAAAGGGATTGTTTTGGCCCTAATTTTAGAACGTCACGCAGTCGTTTTAAAAAAAGTATTCAGGTTAGTTAGCTTAGCAATGCTATTTATTATGTAAACAAAAACACTTGCCTTCCTTCAAAGCATTTTTGTGACTTTTGTTAAATAAGAAATTACAAACACATTTGCATTGAAATAACAGACATAACACATAAATACATTTTTTTTTTCTACCCGAAAATGCGGTTCCTCACTGCCAGCAAGAGTGCATCGAAAAACAACTTCCTGTTGAAGCCGGAAGACAGAGCTGTGACATCAGAGCGACGCAGAGGTCAGAAACCCTCTCTTACAGCCATCTTGGATCCTGTGCCCTGATCTAGTGAGTACTTCTGTGTTACATCTACTGTCATCCAACGTTGCATTAGTGTTTTTACCCTCTCATTTACTACCTATATTGATGCTTTAGTGTTCCTCTGTACTAAACGGTAAAGATTTCTTTGTTTGACTTCTTTATTGGCTAAATATCGTAATGAATACAGCCGGCAGACAGTTCAAAATGGGGGAGCGAGACGCACCGCAGCTCGCTTTATGCGAGGACTTCAAACGAGTGCTTTGTACCTAACGAAACGGTTAAATCGTGTGAATATATATAATTATAATCAAATACAGCAATGTTTATGAGCCGTCTGTAATGTAATAGTTAAAATAATTAGCATTGTTTGGGACAGTAATCTCTGATTTGAAAGTTGATCTCGCGTATTAAATCGTTTAAAAACCAGAGATAACGACACACGTGGTATGATAACTACATTATGAATGTTTTTTTGTCCACGTTGTTTTGTTTTCGTTTGGTTATAAGTTACTCATACACAACAGCAGCAGCGTGACAGTGCTGCTCTGTTACACACGTGAAATTTGCATCATCGCTACACATGTACCTATGAACGGCTTTTAAAACTAAGTTTTTATGTCGTTATGATTGTAAATAGGCCATACTCTGTAGTGCTGTGAGTGTTGATGTAACGGTGAAGATCACCGTTTCTGTACGGTGGACTTGTGAAATGTTTTATCATGTAATTAAGCTCAATGCTTGTGAAATGTAACACAGTAGTGGGTTTATTCAGCTGTCAGCAGAGGCCTACAGGAAGAGGCCTGGTGCGCTGCTCTGTTTGAATAGCAAAAGCTACATGAACACAAAGACCCAGACTAAAACTGATTATAATGTGCTATATTATCTCTCATTTCTGTTGCAGTCCAGAATGCCAGGCGAAGCCACAGAAACTGTCCCTGTTACAGAGCAGGAGATGCAGCAGCCCCAGGCTGAGACGGGTTAGTAACTATCTTTAAATGTGCATGTCTGACACTAAACAAAAATTGTGTGAGGGGGTCCTGGAGCAATATTGTTTTTCACTTTTTAAAATATAAGGCAGATCCTAAAATGTTGTTCTGTCTGTTTATGCTATTTTTGCGCCTGTTTCAGATGTCCTTCACGTTTCATTTATGGTACTCTACCAGCTGTTGTAGAGACTTCACAAAGCCAGTTTCTCTAGTTGGATGTGGTGTCATGTTTTGTAGGGTGGGGATGTAGTTTGAGTCAGTTTTTCTCCACCTAGAGGTTTTTAAAATTAATTTGCTTGAGCCCCTCCCTGTATTGCAATCTACACTAGTTTCATAAAAGAGAGAGTTCAGACAAATTTCATGTTGGTCCAAACCTGTATGACTTTATTCTGTGGAACACAAAAGATCAGTTCAAAACAACACGAACCATTGGCTTTCATTGTACACTACAGACAAATTAAAAAAAAATGTTTTTTTTTTTTTTTTTTTTTAAATAACCCCTTTAAGCCTCAACAAATACCTGCTATGTATGATTTAAGTATATAGTTGGTTATGAGGTATTGACAAACAACATTAGTTTTTGAAAAATAAGAGTGATCCAGGATGGCCTTGCCCAACAGTGTTAGCCTGTACGGTTTAATATGGTACTTTTTGTTTTGTTTGACATTGAAAGCACACGCATCCTTAAATGATTTAATGGAATGTGGCAACGCAACACTGCATGAACGTTTTCCTAACATTTCATTGAATTTGAGTAATCTCAACCTGAATATTTATACACAATTTTGAACCTTTTTTTTTGTGTTAGGTTAGGGATGGAGGGATTTATTGTGTTGAGGAATGTATTTGCCAGATCTTCATGAGGAGAAGCATGAATGAAATATGTTAAAAAAAAGTCTTATAGTGATCCTGATCTTGAGGAACACTGTCTTTTCTCTTCATATCTTGAGTACTAAATTTTTAATTTGACAATGGAAATGTTAATTCTTGAATTTATGTAGCAAAATTGATTTGTGTGTGTGTGTGTGTGCTTAGTCTTTACATACTTTACATCTCGGTCAAATATCTGACAAGTTCAGCCAGTTCAATCACAGGTATGGGACACTTATTTCTTGGATGGTACACTGATAGTAAACTGCAGTTATGACAACATGGGGTAGAAATATGATTGCTTGCATCTGTTACAAGGAATATGTGATAGCCTTGTTTTTTGAGATTCATGTTATTTAGTATTTATTATATTCTTTGACTAAAGTTCACATATTTCCTAATATCCTGACTGGGTTTATACCGATAGACAATTATGTTGTTGTTATTAGCAGACTTGTTTTATCAAATTAATATTAGGACCTACAATTAATTTGCCTTCCCTAATTTCATAACATAACCACACTGACGACATGAGGATTGAGGACTCTCTCTGATAATGTTTTTAAAACCGACTACAAAAATAAATTGGAAGGTGATCAATTTACAAATTGTCAAGGGTCCTCCTCATAAAAGACGCATAATTATTATACAGTTTTTGTTTAAGGCAACTACAAAATGACAGCTGTCGGTTTCGATTCCTTAGCACATTAACAAAACTTTTAAAGGACACTAAAAATACAACTACAAATTATTATTTATAACAATATTACTTAATAATATACAGGCTGACAATAGGACTATATGACTTGGAGTAGGCAAATATTATACTTGCTTTTAACTGGGTGATTGTCCTTTAAGATTTTTAATTATTTGTCTATCTAAGGAACATCATGGTTAATAAATGTGCCAGAAAACAAAGTTAATTTAATAAAAAATGTTTTTAGATGTTTATTGCCAGTGCCTGATGGTTCATGCATGTGCAGTTGAGTGGTTTTTACAGAGTCTTAACATTTCTTAACCAGATTTCATGGTGTTTGATTTGCTTTAGTAGCCATTGCTTTCGTGGAACAGTTTAACACTTGAACAATTGAAAGCATCCCCTCATAACCAGCATGGATGTGACGGTTTTACATCATGCAACCTTTTAATTGCCAAAAAAGTCACTCTAGCATTTTATTTCCATTAGCCACACCTGCTGCTGCGGCCCCTACTACCTCTCAGGCAAAACCTAAAGAGGGCAAAACTAACCCCAAGCTGTCCTCTTCTCATGCCACCACTCCTAAGCCAGTTCCTGCCGGACGCAGGAAGCGTTCTTCTCTATCTGCCTCATCAAGCTCCCCCACCTCTCCTAAATCTGCCTCCGGGCCACGTGCTACCCCTCCATGTTCCCCTTTGGCCTCCCCTCCAGTTGACTCTCCTGTAGCTTTGAAAGCTGAGCAATCTGCTCCCAAGGTGGTAAAGGCTGGCAAACAAGGGAAGCAACAGAAAACAAAGAATTTTAAACCTGCCGAACATGAGCAGGCGCCTCCCCCTGCCTCCAAGCCTGCTCAAGAGTCGGCACCAGTGGCAGCTCTGCCATCTCCTGCTGTACCAATTCCAGAGGTATCAAAACCAGCAGCTGATGCTTCCCCTGCCTCTCCCAAAGTTGCTTTGGCTCCTGTGGCCTTTAAAGTGACTTCAAAATCTGCTGTCCCAGCACCCAAGTCATTTTCAGAAGCCGTGGCCACCTGTCCACCCAAAGTGGCTGAAACCCCTAAGTTTGCCTCTGAAGCTCCAAAAGTGGCAAAGACTGGCCCTGCCCAAGTGCCAAATGTGAATCCAGCCACTGCTGCACCATCAAAACCTGCTCCTAGGGTTCTGCCTGCAGAGTTAGAGGATGATGATCTCCCACCTCTCTTACCACCTGAGAATCCTTTTACAATGCCTGCTTTCCCCCCCATGCCACCTAGTGTAATTACCCCAACAGCTCCTAAAGCTGAACCTGTCGCCTCCAGTAAAGCTGAATCTGGCCCTGCCCCTAAAGCAAAGATTGCTCCTAAAGCTAAGCCAGCTCCTAAAGTTGATCCTGTCCTCACCCCTAAAGGAGAGACTACCCCTGTACAGAAAGCGGTTCCTGCGCCTAAAGTAGAGCCTATCTACACCCCTAAAGATGAGTCTACTCCTGTCCCTAAAGCTGAGGCTGCCCATAAGATAGAGGCTGCTCCTGCACCTAAATCTAAGTCTACCCCTATCCCTAAAGCTGAGCCTGCTCCTGCCGCTAAAGTTAAAACTGAGGTGGTGGCCCCTAAAGTTGAGCCTGCTCCTGCTGCTAAAGTTAAACCTGTTGCTGCTCCTAAAGCTGGGGTGGTGGCCCCTAATGCAGAGTCTACTCCTACCACTCAGTTGGAGCCTGCTGTTAAAGTCGAGACTGCTGCCGCTAAAGTTGAGGCTGCTGCCCCTGCCGTTAAAGTTAAGCCTGCCCCTAAAACGAAGTCTGATTCTACCTCTAAGGTTGAGCCAGCTGCTGCCCCTAAAGTTGAAGCTGCTGCCCCTAAAGTTAAACCTGTGCCTGCCCCTAAAGTTGAGGCTGCTGCCCCTACCCCTAAAGTCCAACCTGCGCCTGCCCCTAAAGTCAAACCTGCTGTGCTTGCACCTGAAGTAGAGGCTGCTGCCCCTAAAGTTAAACCTCTGTCTGCCCCTAAAGTTGAGGCTGCTGCCCCTACCCCTAAAGTCCAACCTGTGCCTGCCCCTAAAGTCAAATCTGCCCCTTCCCCTAAAGTCAAACCTGTCCCTGCCCCTAAAGTTGAGGCTGCTGCGCCTGCCCCTAAAGTTGAGGCTGCTGCCACTAAAGTTAAACCTGCGCCTGCCCCCAAAGTAGAGGTTGCTGCGCCTGCCCCTAAAGTTGAGGTTGCTGAGCCAGCGCCTAAAATTGAGGCTGCTGCCACTAAAGTTAAACCTGCGCCTGCCCCCAAAGTAGAGGTTGCTGCGCCTGCCCCTAAAGTTGAGGCTGCTGCGCCTGCGCCTAAAATTGAGGCTGCTGCGCCTGCGCCTAAAATTGAGGCTGCTGCCACTAAAGTTAAACCTGCGCCTGCCCCCAAAGTAGAGGTTGCTGCACCTGCCCCTAAAGCAGAGGCTGCTGCCACCAAAGTTAAACCTGTGCCTGCCCCCAAAGTTGAGGCTAATGCTGTCCCTTCCCCTAAAGTCAAACCTGCCCCTTCCACTAAAGTTGAGGCTGCTGCGCCTGCCCCTAAAGTTGAGCCTGTCCTTGCCCCTAAAGTTGAGCCAGCACCTGTTCCCAAACCACTTAAAGCCCCATCCATACTGGAACCAGTCATCAAGAACGACAAGGGTATCTCTTTCTGTCTGTCTTTGATTTCTGCGTTTGTTGTTGTTTGCCAAATGTTGTGTCCCTATAATGCTTTAGGTCACATTATCAGTGAAAGAAAGCCTGATAACTCCAGATTCTGAAAATCTATCCTTAGTCTTTGAGTGCGGTTTAAGAAAGTAGGAGCATGTGCCAGTAGTTGTTTGTTTTTTGAGCTTATCAATATGAATATTGTTCAGCGTTTCATCCATAATTGGAATTTACTTAAATATTTTTAAACAAACTGCAAGATAGAATGTAAAGCAAGTATTTATTTTGGTCATTTCAACAGGATTCTGGTGAAAATGTATTCTGTGTGTCTAATGGCAAATCAATGTAATGTATGTTTTAGGGTCTGGCACTGAATCTGACAGTGACGAATCTGTTCCTGATCTGGAGGAGCAGGACTCTGCGCAAACACAGACACAGCAGGCACAGGTAATATTATTTTAAATGGCATCCACCTGTAGGGCTGGTCCGAATACCCTTTTTTTTGAGATTCAAGGCTACTGTAGTAATAAACACTGAATATTCAAAGCTTCGGTAGTAATCAACACTGAATATTCAAAGGTTCAGACAGCTAACAGATAATAGCATCATAAATCTCAATTAACGATCAGTTAAAGAAAAATTAAATGAATTCCCTTATATAGAATAAAACAAACTACAATAGGCTAAATAGAACAAGGTAACATTAGGCTGGAGCATGTTCACTCGTGGGCGGTTTTACTGGGGCATATGATGTGTCAGTAAAATCTCACGTTTGAGTTTTAACAAGCTGCTATATTTTGCAGTCGATTAATTTAGATTGATAATAACGAGTAAGAAGGCTAATACATTTGTTTTCCATTTTTGTATTTTGCATCTGTATTTCAAAACATAGGTGAGAATGAGAACCGTTTCAAAGAGGATGCCAGGTGTGCGGGGGAAAAAACGAATATTTGAATCCCAAAATTTAAAATGGAATACCAACCCACCGAGCGAATATTCGGGTCCAGCCTTATCTACCAGTAGCATTATTTGCCCTCCACTTTTTCTCACATCAGTTGTCTATAAATTTTACATCGGTATGAACTGAAATTGCATTACCTTTCTGTAGCTTGCAGCTGCAGCTGAAATTGACGAGGAACCTGTTAGCAAAGCAAAACAAAGCAGAAGTGAGAAGAAAGCCAGGAAGGTAGGTCATCCTCAAACCAAATGAATCTGATTAGAACACCTAATTCAATTAGAACGCATGCACTGTTGTCTAACTGTACCCTTGCTTCCCTTTGCCAGGCCATGTCCAAATTGGGGTTGAGACAAGTTGCTGGTGTTACCAGGGTAACCATTCGCAAGTCAAAGAACATTCTCTTTGTCATCACCAAACCAGATGTCTACAAAAGTCCAGCTTCAGATACTTACATTGTCTTTGGTGAGGCCAAGGTAAAGATTAGAAAAAAAGAATTGGTTTCTTGTATAAGTTTTCTGTGCACTACTGCAATATCAGCCCTGTTTTGGTAGAAAACTAATTCTACAGGGCAACCTTTTTCCTGGTTATCTCAGCCTAAGTGACCTCTCAATGATGATTTAAACAGTTTGACTTTCGTTCTTCTGAGTCTAATGAAGCCAAACTTTCTGTCCTGAAAGGGGAAACTTTCACAATGGTGTGAGGAACACAATGAAGCTTACCAAACAAACTAAAATCTGGATTGTTTTTGCTGTTCTCAGATTGAAGACCTGTCACAGCAAGCTCAGTTGGCAGCTGCAGAGAAATTCAAGGTTCAAGGAGAAGCCGTTTCAAACATCCAGGAAAATACACAGACGCCCACAGTACAGGAGGAGAGCGAAGAGGAAGAGGTGTTTATGAACACTGTTATGATTTAACACAGAATAATACTGCTTTCAAGAAAGGTCTTGTGCTGATGTATTCAACAAATGTGAAAGTAAATATGTCCTCATTCTTTGAGTGATTTGATTTACCATTTACAGGTTGATGAGACCGGAGTGGAGGTCAAGGACATTGAGCTGGTCATGTCACAGGCCAATGTATCGAGGGCGAAGGCTGTGCGTGCATTAAAGAATAACAATAACGACATTGTCAATGCTATTATGGTGAGTTAAACTGAAAACGTCTCTCCCTTTATGCAGTTAAATGCATTTTACAATTTATTTATATATATATATATATATATATATATATATTACAAAACTCTTCTGTGATGAATTAACATATGACTTTCGTTCTTCTGAATTTTTCCTGAAGCCAGTTCATTTGTACTGAGAAGAGCTCAGGCTTTAAATGCTTCATGTCATAATACGAAGCAGTCTTACTAATTTGTCTTTTTGCCTGTCTTCACAGGAATTGACGATGTAGATGGAGATCAGGGACTGGGTCACAATAAGATGTTGCTGATTTGATCTACACTATTGTTTGTACAATTTATACCCAAGAGAAATAAAGGAGTGAATTGAAGAAACGATTTATGTTGTATTTTGTTTATTTTATACTATTGATGGAAATTTGTTGTGTGGTGAATTTGTCCAGAGAAGCACAAATCATTATTTGCATTGAGAAAAGGTATGAACTTGCTCCTATCTCTGTCTGAGGATTGATCTTTGCTGTGATTAAATAAAAAGAAAAAGTTCTGGAGTAGCTCTTGTCTTTCTCCTGGAAATCAGTTTATTAAACTGTGATGGACCCATGGATTACTTGGACTATTATCAGTAAAGATCAATTTTTTATATATACATATACTGTACATAGTTTGTGTCCTTTGAAACGCATTAATCTGAAGTTAAACCTGTGTATTGGTAGATTTCATTTAAATCAGTTTAGCCCTGGAGTAGCTTGTCTTCCTCTAGGAAATCATGGTCATCTGGTCAAGAGACTGGCTCTCAATTATAAGTGTATATTTGCAGGACCACCAGCGTGTATTTGTCGGCAGCATTTTATTTTAAGGTTAATTTTTATATTCTTCCGCAACACTGTATTGAATAACTGTTGTAATGTTCAAAATTAAAAAAAAATATATATAGATATAGAAAGTATAAAAATATATATAAGTGTGTGAAAAGGTCTTAGGTGAATGTTAATCTTGGTGTGTATAAATGTAAATAAATTTGTACAGTGTTGGGGACTTTTAGTTTGAAAAACGAGTGTGTTTTGTGTTGTTCTCACGTGTGCACTGACGTTTGTTGGAAATTGAAGATCAAATATTCACAATTATCTTTACGCCGTTATAAGTTTTAAATTCTCTCCAGCAGCACACATGCTTACTTTTGTTTTTGTTTGTTTTTTTTACACTCGGTAAGAAAAAAAGAATAAAAAATATCCTGTTAAAGTCGTAATATCGCGTTACTTTATGTGTTGTGTAAGTTCTTATCGAATCACCTAACCGGCATCGGATCCAGACAGGTCAAATCATAAAGTGCAAGAAGGGAGGCTTTCTGTCACTCAAATCCATTCATAAGACTGAAATGGCTGTCCGGATAGCTTTGGTTGGAGCTTTACGTTATGTGGGCTCCAGGACGAGTGTGGTTAGTTCACAGCGACTGCTCTGCTCTCTCGAGAGAGGACGAGGTTCATCTGGCAGTGTGAGGGTGAGAAAATTACTTCTCGTTCTCACTATAGTTTAGCAGTGACCTTTACTGTCATGTTCGCATGTTTCTTGTCACTGCGTGTACTAGTCAGGAATGAATATACAAAAACCTAGAGATCTGGGGACGTATTCACAAAGAAATTAGCTCCTAACTGGCGAATTTATATGCATTTCGATGACATTATTATTTAGTGTAGTAGGACACAGACATATTTAGATGTCGTAATTCCATGATTTGTTATAAATAATGTTGAAATATTTTAGTACGATTTAGGAGTAGGCTACTCCTTGTGGTGAGATAAGTCTTTGTGAATATGGCCCCTGACCATCCAGACATCACTAAGCAAGGTGTATTCTGTTTCTGTCTATGGGTGTATTGTGTATTAGGCTAATTTGTTCATTTTGTGTCATAGGTACTGTATGATGGAGAATGCCCAATATGTGTTAAAGAAATTCGCTTACTTCAGTTTCTTCAAAGAAACAGAGCAGAAAAAGTTGATTTTGTGGACATTTCACTGCCAGAATATGACGGGATGAAATATGGAGTCAGTTATGAGATTGCAATGGAGGAAATGACAGTGATTGATACGAATAACAAGGTGAGTGATCAGTTTCCCACTTTTATCATGTGAAAAATCTCAATAGCATTGTGTTTCAAAAGTATTTCAGATATTTGTATAGTGTTTATTTTCAATACATTTCACAATACCTGATCAAGTATGTGATGATTATCCCTCAATGCTACTGTTTCTGAGGACAGATTCATCGTGGCGTGCCAGCTTTTACAGTCATGTACAGTGCGGTGGGTTTGGGTTGGCTTGGACGGTTCATCTCTCTCCCACTGATCAGGCCTGTAATGGATCGCGCCTACTTGTTGTTTGCAAGAAACAGACTGAAGTGGACCGGCAGAGAGGGCTGCATCACTGGACGCTGTGTGAAAAAAGAGACATAAGGGTCTGAGAACTAAAATGGACTCCCTGCTATACTATCATGTCAATGGATGTATCGTTGTTAACAGTTGTTGTTGTTGTTACTGTAAAGCTTACTTTTTTGCATCTAATATTCTTTTAAATATGTACTGAATGTAACTGTAATATCCATGTGTACTCAGAACAAATTATTTTTTTATTAAGATGTTTAACTACTTTAAAACTTTAAAAAACAATGTAATATCTGTATATACAATACATTACTCATACTGAGAGGGTAGTCAGAGTGTTGACACTTTGAACAACTTTAATGGTACGTTTTCTAAAATTAGTTGCCCCCTGACTCAACTGTTGGAATGTAGTAGGACAGATTGTGCTTTAATGGGGAATGTCCAGGGGTTTGGTCAGTACTCCTTTAAACCGACCAATAGGGTTTGAGTAGGGTGGGATTACAAACCCCACAGGAAGCAATCCAAGCAATACATGTGTTTTGGAAGGAAAGTGAGCATTTATTATTCTCCTTGAAGTCAAGTTCAGCAGAAGAGGAAAAACCAAAAGGTAAGACAAAAGACAAAATCTATTTAGTTTACTTTGGGCGTCAAGACCTACAAATCACCCTCAAGGATAAGTATGGTTTGTTGAATTGGAATTAACTTGACCTTCTGTCTAGGTGAATATAAAATGCTTTTTTATAATTAAAACTAGTTGTTATAGAATGATTATGATCGACTAGTTATAATTGCATGAGCTGAACATTTTTAACATTGAAGCCCCTTTAATTTATGGAATAGACATGATAATCACAAGTATGTTCATGTTAATGTTGGTTCACAGTGCATTAATGTTAACAAATACATTTATTGATCTTAAATGTTAAAATGAACATTAACTCAAATTAAATGAAATGCTGTAAAAGTATTGTTCATTGTTAGGGTCGTTAAATAATGTTAGCAAATGAAACATTTTCAAGTGTTACCATTCAAATATGTATTGCTTCTTAATATCTTTTATGAAAATGTTTCTCATTTCATAGTGCTGTTCTAATTTATGAATATAGGTCTAGGTATAGGCTAATTACTGTGTTGCATTTAAATTCTCAGTTATATATAATATACATAAAAGTCAGCCATGTCACAAAACATTAACAAACTCTCTACAAACAGAATGCAGTCGTTTAGACCAGTGTTTCCCAAGTCTGTTCCTGGAGGCACACCAACAGAGCACATTTTCCAACTCTTCCTAATCAATCACACCTAAATCAACTCATCAGCTCGTTAGTAGAAACTCTAAGACCAGAAATATGGTTCAGAAAAGGGAGACATCCAAAATGTGCACTGTTTGTGTACCTCAAGGAGCAGCGTTGGGAAAGGGAAACACTGGTTTAGACTATTGGTGACTGTCTTTCATTTTAAGTAGAGGACTTGTTGATTCCATGTGACCAAATCTAAGCACGTGGAAATTGACATGTGGAATTGAATGTACACATCGTGATGCAAATGCCATGCCAGTCCTAGGATCACAAAGACATGTGGCAGTTCTCTTCTGTCTTGTCGCGTGACAGATAAATAGCACCAGAGTAGCCTACTCGAGGTTCTTTGAAACTCTAAATAGGCTATTTCTATGACATGCAGTTGACACGTTGGTGTCCTATTTCACAGTTCTGAGCATTAGCCTGTTCTTATTCACAGAATGGCTTGTATATAACATTCACTCTGCAAAAACCCTTAAAGGGGTCATCGGATGCAAAATTCACTTTTATATGGTGTTTGCATATAAATGTGTCTTTGCAGTGTGTGGACACAAATAAACACCATACAATGAAAAAAATCCATTCACTCCTTTTTTTGAATCCTCAAAAAGTCTAAACACTCTCAATGAGCACTATTTAGATATTTGACCTCTATAATTGACCAGGAGGGGGCGTCCAAACATAAATCAACACTGGATTAAATTATTATACATTATTTTGATCTTTATTGATTTTCCTGTTTGTAGGAATAAGTTTTAGAACTGCCTTTGTTCTTAAATATACACCACAAGAACAGATCATATGATTCAAAAGTTTTATGTTTTTTATAGGGCTCTCGAATGATTAATCACATCCAAAATAAAAGTTTGTGTTTACATAATATGTGGGTGCATTGTGTATAATTCTTTTATAAATATATATAAATACACACACAGGCTTGTATATATTTAAGAAATATTTTCATGTATATAGATAATTTATATATTTTATATATAAATAATATTTTTTTTCCTAAATATACATGCATGTGTGTGTATTTATATACATATACAAAATAATTATACACAGTGCGCCCACATATATTATGTAAACACAAACTTTTATGTTGGATGCGATTAATCGCATTTTTTATGTTTCCTTGATTATATTTCATTCCAGACATTCCATGATTCTGATTCTGCTGCCAAAGCTCTTCCAGTCCTCATTCAGATCATCTGCTTGGACACTGTAGGCACTTTATGGATGGGTTGGTATCTTAACAAAACACAGGTCACTTACCTGGGGTCAAGGCAGCTGTGCAAGATGAAGTATATCCTCACAAACATCAGTAATGTGTCTCACCTTGTCAGGAGTATCGGCTCCTCACCTCAGTCAGCAAGGAGGATTCCTCTCAAATCACATAGATCAATAAAAACTAAGAGACTTTTTGGAGATGTTAGCTGTAATATGAAATATGAGAATGGATTGGGGCTTCAGAAGTACCATTTATACTCAACCTCCAGTAGAGAAACATTCAAAGCAGAAGCACCCATTGGAGTTTACCAGAACAGTAGGACTACTTTTCGGATGCACTTACTTGGACTGAGATTAGGAGAGTCTTTTAATCGTCTTTCCCAACACATTAACTTGTACTTTAAGCAGAAACAGGTCTCTGTGACGGATTACGGGCAGATTGAATTGATATCTTCAGTGCAGGAACCATTTACCAGAACTCAGAGACGAGTTCAGAGAGAGAGAGGGTCCAGAGCATTTATAGGGACGCCTTCTATTGAGCAGGCCCATCAAACATCCTCAAAGCAAGCCTTGACTTCAGCCTATCCTGGACTACAACTGTTCCACATCAGCTCCTTGGCAAACAGATTTGGGGAGACTTACAGCTATGTGGCCAATCACATTAACTCTGTATTCTCTCGAAATCCAGATGAGCAAATTCATGTGGAGGTATCACCAGATGATGGCTTCAGAAGGTCTAGAAACAGAAAGCGAAGAGTTATGGGTAACAAAGGTGTTCTTCATTGGGAAAATGAGCAAACACAGCAAAACATAAGTTTGGGTACAAGACCAGAGATAGATAAGAATGTATCTAGTTCCTGGGAAGAAGGATATCTTCACTTTGCCAGTCACATCAATCGATACTTTGGGGCAAAAGTAGCAGATACTGTTGAGGAATCACCAGGTGTTGATCATCAGTTGTCAAAGACTTCAGTCTCACTGGACCCTCTAAACAAAACTAAACACCCTAGTTCACTTCTTCTTCAGCCCAAATCTCCAGGCTTGTTCCACGTGAGCAGCCTCGCCACACACTTTGGGGAAAATTACACTTACATGGCCAACCACGTTAATCGGTACTTCAATGGATCTGCAGCTGTAGAGAATGAGGAGGTGGGTAGAGATCTACACACAGAAGAACATTACAGAGGTTCATCTGAGGACATGGTGAGCCAGGAAAAACCAGTGACCTTCTTTGAGTACCTGTTGAAACCCTCAACTTTACCTGGATTTATGGGCAGCTACCTGGGAATGGGCTCTAGCAGGCGTAGTGACCATGCAACTGTAACAAGGACCCCAGAGGAAATGCTGGACAAAATGGTGAGTCTTGCATGACCAGAAATCATAATTTAATAAAACACCTGAACTCAAGCATTTGGGACATATGGACTACTGTTGTAGTTTTATCAGTATATATGCCATGGATGCAGGATACATGTACCATATCGGTTATTTGCTGATATTAGAGATTTTTAAACTATTGGTCAATATTAGAAATTTAAATGTTCATGCTGATTTCTTCAATTTTTTAAACTTTTAAAAAATGTAAACGTTTAAAAATTAAAAGGTTTTTAAAAAATCACTTGTAGTATTTAAAATGATTGATTTTAAGTGATGTATTCTTAACTCATTTAGACAAAATAGTATAGAATTTTATTATTGGATATCGGCACTGACACAAAATCATTTTCAGCCTGTCAAATCATATAAATTTTAATATTCGGTGCATCCCTTAGCATTAAATGTTTTTTACAAGTAAATGAAAATTTAAGTAAAAAGTCTTTCAAAATTTCATGTTTCAATGTGTTACTTCAATGTGTTGTCTTGTTTACTACAAATGCTGTTTCTTTGTAATCATTTCTTAAATTAACTTGCAATTTCTAAGTGAAAATTGTTTTAAAGGTGCATTGCACAAGTCTCTGAGTTTTTGCAGAACTATGCCCCCTCTGGCGACAAGTGAAACTGCAACCAGAGGTGTGCATGCTCACGGACCATACGCACACGCTCCCTTGCAGGAGCTGTTCATAACAAAGGAGCATCAGCCGCACAAATCTTTTGTTTCAGTCATAATGTCTTCAGAGGTAATAAAGTTATAAATCTGCAAGTCATTTTAAATATATGAAAGGTATTTGAGTAAATTACACACTTATGTCTAGGGAAACGGGGGTAGTAGAAAACGTAGGTATTTGTTTCCATCTCCATTTTAAACTGTTTTATGTGCTCACTGTATCCACTTATGATTGTATTATTGTGGAAACACATTCATGAACAATATAAGTTATTACTTTGTATAGGATCCCGTTTCAACCCTAGAGCAGACCGGAGATCTCTCCATTTGTTGAAAGCCTTCCCGATGTTGACTCTCATGAAATGTTGCGCAATGCACCTTTAAAGTAAAGTAAAGTAACTACACATTTATTGAGTGTTTCAGCTTTTGTTTTCTACACTGCATCCAGTCAATGAAATGGATTGAATATAGCAGGAAAGCTGTTTTCTAGGTTTTTAGGAGGATGGAGGCAGATGAGATGACAAGAGTTCTACTGAACAGGCTTAAAGAGGCTAGCGTACCGTCATCCATCACTTCTTGTGTGGAGGAACTGAACACTCACCTCATTCAGCACCCAGCATGCAAGACTGTGGTGTGGCAGGTATACAATACAAAACTAAAATCCATTAAAACCAAATGTAGAACAACTATAGAAATTCAGATTTTTCAATTCATTTTTTTTTTTTTGATGAAATCCAGGAAAAAGCTGCACTGTGTCTTCTTAGACGACGCCGGATCTTTTGGATGGATAAAAAACTTCAAGAAGCCATTAGGCAGACTCTTGCTCTGATTGGCTATGTGGATCCAGTCAAAGGTTGTGGGGTCAGAGTGCTTTCCATTGATGGAGGTGGAACCAAGTAGGAAACACCACATTTAGTCAACATGCTCTACAGGTTTTGCTTGTAAAACTGGATAAATATGATCCAATATGTCTTCCAAAAAAGCTTTTTAGAGATACTAAACATCTGTTTGCAATTTCATGAAATAAACAATTATTAATGATAATTATTTTTGTCTTACACATATTTCTTGCCTTACAGAGGGTTAGTTCCACTACAAGTGTTAAAACAGTTGGAGGCTCAAACAGGAAAGCGAGTGTATCAACTTTTTGACTATATATGTGGAGTCAGCACAGGTAAAAATGCGCGACAAAGGCTTTATTCTCAAAATAATACAGAACATATTTACACTACTGATCAAAAGTGAGAGTAAATACATTTATACCATTACAAAAGATTTCTATTTCAAATGAATGCTTGTTTTTTAAACTTAATCAAAGAGTTTTGAACTGTGTCACGGTTTGTATTAAAATATTAAGCAGGACAACTTTTTTAACGTTGATAATAATCAGAAATGTTTCTTTGAGCATCAAATCATCATTAGAATGATGTGACCCTGGAGACTGGAGTAATAATGATGTAAACATCACAGGAATAAATGACATTATGAAATATATTAAAATAAAAAATGGTTATTTTAAATGCTAATATTGTGATATTTTTACATTTGACTGTTTTTGATTAAATAAATGCAGTCTTGGTGAGCACAAGAGGCTTACTGACCTCATACATTTGATTAGCAGTGTGCATATAAAGTAAATACTGACTGTATTATTATATGGCAATATGTTATTGTTATTATTATTATTATTATTATTATTATCATATCTTTTTTATCTCTGTGTTTGATGTGCAGGAGCAGTTTTGGCTTTCATGTTGGGTCTAGCTCATATCTCTTTAGACGAATGTGAAGAGATGTATCTTCGTTTTGGGACAGACGTTTTTCGACAAAACCCCCTGGTTGGTACAGTGAAGATGGGCTGGACACACTCCTACTACAACACAGAAACATGGGAGAGGATTTTAAGGTTGGATTTAAACACTCAGTGGAAGTAAACTATACTATATTTATGGCTACGATGCTTTCTTAACTATTCCCATGTGTTCATCATAGGGAGAAGATGGGGGAGGAGATTTTAATTAAAACAGCAAGAGATGAGCTGAGCCCAAAGGTGAATCAAAAATAATAATAATAATAACATCTGTCTTTTAAAATCCAGATTTTCATGATCTCCTGACTGCTGATCTCTTCTTTCACAGGTGTCTGCTGTAAGTGCCGTAGTGAACTGGGGGAAAAGCCCGAAAGCATTTATCTTCCGCAACTATAACCACGCTCCAGGAAGATTGAGCCGCTATTCCGGAGGATCAGGGTACCGGCTGTGGCAGGCTGTCCGCGCCTCATCTGCTGCTCCGGGATATTTCCAGGAGTTCCCTCTCCATGGTGACATACACCAGGTCAGAACAGTCAAGTTTAGTCGATATCAGGACCAAAATATACTAGCATCCAGACCTTTTCCCATTTGTTTTTCTCCAGGATGGCGGTCTTATCCTCAATAACCCCTGTGCTCTGGCCGTCCATGAAAGCCGATTGCTGTGGCCCAATCAGCACTTCCAGTGTGTGCTGTCACTGGGAACGGGACGCTATGACAATGCTAGAAGAGGGCCTGCAACCTCCACTAGTCTCAGAGCCAAAATCAGCAACCTGGTCTGCAGTGCCACAGATACTGAGGGTTAGTCTGTGTCATATAGGCATCATATAGTGACGCTTTTGCCAATGCCTATACATCTAACGCACATGGCACCCTTTAGCGTCAATATAACACGCTTCGGGAATGGGTAGGTTTAGGTCTGGGGTAGAGTTAGACCACAAGGAGGCGCCTTCTAGCCCACATATATCTGCATCTCGCTAAAGGGTGCCATGTGCGTTGGATGTATACGCATTGGCAAAACCGTCAGTATGACACCTTGGGATGAGAACGGGCTGGTCTGCTATAATTGAATAATTGTACAGTTATTAATATTACATAATACCACAGAGAATAAATTTGCAATTATTAATTGTTCATAATACACAATTTACAATTATTTAGTCATCTTAAAATGCACTCTTTTTTATTTGTCTTGACTTGTACCACTATGAATATAATTGTAATATTATTAATATTACAGTGAATAATTGTGCAATTACATTTAAATCCTGAAATAATTATTTGTAATTATAAAGATAAAGTTAAAATATGTATTTTTGATTACTTGCATTTAGCCAGTCAACATGGTACTCTTTTACACACTTTTACACACACACAAAAAATGCTGATCTTGTTCATATTGCCATGTTTAGGAGTTCACACTCTATTGGATGACCTCTTATCACCGAATGTGTATTTTCGCTTTAACCCAATGCTGAGGTCAAACGTGACACTGGATGAAAGCAGGCCTGAAGTGCTTCAACAGCTGCAGAAAGACACACAGCTGTACTTGGACCGGAACCGACCCAAACTGGAACGTCTGTGTGATGTGCTGATGGTGGAGCGCACAGCGATACGGAAGACACGGGACTGGATCGGTGGGAAAGCGTGGGAGCTGCAGCACCGCTGGGCTTGAGTGGACTTTACACGGTGCTGACCAGAAATCAGTTGAGATCAGATGAAAACTAATTACAATTTTATTTTGATACAAATCATTGTTAGAGAAGTTGCAAATCAAATCAGTCCAAATATGCAGCCGTGTACACAATGTTAGAATTAATGTACTGAGCACTTCTGCCATGAAAGCAGATTACATATGTAAATGTATATTTTGCATAAATGTCAATATTTATAGACTGATGCATTTATTTATTTATTTCTGTTTTACATTTTTCAGAGGTTTATGTAATTAAATAAAAAATCACTTTTTTTAATCAAACTAAGGGCACACTACTTCTATTTTTTTGTGTATTTTATATTTCAATAAGATGACAGCATATAACAAATAATGTAAAGTATAATTAATAATTCAGGTGCTGGTAATGCTTTACCCATAAAGTTTAGACTATAGAAATAATGGGACATGTTAAATTGTCATGGGATTGATTTCAAAACACAACACGTGAAAAACCTTTGGATATTCTCCATTAGTCACATTATAAGGTAATAGGAACAACAGCTATTGCCAAACATAGAGACTGCTTATTTGAGTGTGGGCATTTAGATAGTAAAGTCACAAATCATCCTGATTTTAGTGATGTTTTCGATGCGTAAATGACCTGAAGAAGCCACATAGTCATCAGTCATGTGACCAGTGGTGACTGGGACATCAGTCAAGAGCGTTGTTTGTTATTTTGGACAGTTGTGTAAAATCTTCCCTCAGAGAAGTTATTTTTCTTCAGCCTCTACTTTGAAACAAACTAGTGGACTCCTTTTCTATCATTATAAGGTTTTTACTGTCATGGCTTAGGAGAAAACATGGACAAAGAGCACAATGATTATGCTTTTGTAAATTGAAAATAGCCTGCAAAGGATCCTCCATTTGTACAGATCACTGAAATATCAGGTAAGAAAAGACAATTCTATTATTTAAGAAATAGCCATAAAAATGGAATATATATATATATATATATATATATATATATAAATGTTTTGTATCTATTTAATCTGGCTTTGCTATTTGGGATTGCATCCCACTGTGACTGGTTGTAATGTCACTGTCAGATAAACAATGTATGTTTCATTATAATGTCATCATCCTCTCTGACTTGAGCTGGCAGTTGTGAGTCAGCTGCTTCATCTGAATTACACTCGTCATCCTAGACAGTGTCAACAACGCACACAGATATAAACTGAATTATGAGTCCTATTTAAGACTTTGTTAAAGACTTAAACAGAATTTGTTTTCAAATTTAAATGAATGCCAATTTTTAATTAATGAAAGAGCCAGTTGTTTTAGTACATGCAAATTGCTACCCCAAAGCAAATTAAAAAAAAAGGGGTAATTAATTTAACAGTTCGGCTTTTTATTTTTTACCATGCACAATTCTTGATGTTTATGTTCATAACTAACAGTCTGTTTTTTTTTCTTTGTGGTAGCATTTAGCATGTAATCAACTGGCTCTTTCATTAATTAAAAATTGACATTCATTTAAAATTGAAAACAAATTCTGTTTTTATTTTTGCAGATTCAGTATCTCAAAGCAAGTTAACCAGCAGCATCTGTTCTTCCAAACAAGCTGTAGTGCCACTTTAAGGCTGAACTGATAAAACCCCTCAGAGATATTCTGTATGAATAGAGCCAGCTTACTGCGTCCATTGGGACAGAGGTTTCATTGTCCCGTCCTTGGAGGAAGCGGTTCATTCAGGCTCAGGTTGTGTGCTGTACAGTTTGGTGCTTGGCACTGCAGTGCTGCTGATGTCATATGCACCGCTCAGGATACTGAAGCACTGGGGAACATGACCACAATTAGATCATACTTAAGTCTCTGTTCACTTACTGGGCTGACTCAAGAACTTTTTTGTTCTTTCGTGACCCTCAATATTGTATTAGCTCATCTGTGAAGTGTACAGTAAGACTGTACTGCCTGTACTGATGTGGGATGAGAATGTATGTCTTAGTGGCTGAGATGCTGTTTCCACCTACATCATCTCTCACGATTTGCCTTCTGGGATTTCGCGTGTTCATTCACATTTTGTTTCTGTTTTTGACCGTGCAACTCAAGTTAACAAAGCTTTGAACAGTTAAAGTAAACCATCAATTAGAATAAGAAAAGCAGATTTAAATCTCTTTTAGGTGCAGTCACGAGTCGCGTGACCACCACATTTTAATTTTCACTCAGAAACAAGCATTTCATTCATTGAGTTGGCTTAGTTTTTCAGGACCAAACAATGAGGCCCACGCATTGATGTCATAATCAAAAAGAATGTAAAATATCTTTCAGCTGAGTTTGGCTATTTATGGACTAGCCTATGGGCATTTTCTCATGTGACACATGTTTCTCATGTTTCTCAAGATAACAATTATAAGAACAGTTTATAAATGTATATACAGTATGTATATATATATATATATAACTACAACAATAAAGCCTTTGCCACTGTAACGAGCACATATGTTTGCAACTGCTGAGACTAGAGAGAGAGAGAGAGGAGAGGGGGTTGGACATCATTCATGGTTCATGGGTAGAGTGGGCAAATGGATGAAGACAATGAAGAGGGATGTTAGTTGGAGAGGTATACATTTCAGAAAACATCTGCTTGGTTTGACATAGTTTTGGACCCTTTTTGAATGCAACAACAAAAACAAAACATTGAAGATTGGAATAACCTGTTTGGAATATGGGGCAATGATGACAGATTAACATTACCATAGTGAGGAAACATATAAAAGGTAACAATCTCCAGATGTACTAGCCTACTGCTAACATTTGTGCAATAGAATGTTATTGTAAAACCTTGTTTTTATTTTAGGATTGTGAAATGACCTGCTGAAACAGATAAAGAAGATTTTGTGAATTCTGGATAGCTACTCCACTTCAGTTGGTAGGTTACTTTGCATAATTACGTTGATAATGATTACGCTCGCTGACCTTTACAAATGAACAGTAGGATCACAAACTTTCTGGTTAAACCCTAAAGAAGAATGCAGTCAGTAAACAAGACTATTTTACAAGCAGATGTATTTTTTGCATATATTATATATCGTACTGAATTATTCATGAAAGGAGTAGAACATTTTCTTGTTTTGGGTCTTTTTGTCTTAGCTATTTATAAAGCCTAGCTGGCTAATATATACAATATATAATAGCCTACTATACAAACATAAAATTCGATTAAGCCTATTGAAAACAGCGTTATACGATAAAAAATAATACGATAATAAATGTATTTGTTGTCCCCTTGATGTAACTTTGACGCAGTTGAATTAAGCACAGGATATGCAGGTGCGTGAATGCCAACGAATCACAGTTGCGAAAAGCGGAAGGGGGCGGAGACTTAAAATAATACCAGTGGTGCATTTGCATATGAAATAGTTTGGTTTGCCTGCTTCTTCATTTCAGTAAATGCTACAGCAGTCAGTAAAGAGCGCTTTCAGGGTTTAGCATTAACCCTTGCTCAACACAAACGAAATTATACAAAAGCATTATGAAATAACTTCAAACAAGATGTTTCAAGCATATTTTGGGCAACATTTGAGTATTCTGGTGCTCGTATGTTGTCTGTTGTATCACAAGGCGGATGCTGTACACGATGAGAGCTCTGAGGTGTTGGAAGATTCCTGCCATATTTACGATCCTGCAGCAAACATGGATTTTAGCAATGGAAATTCCTCCTGAGGGTGAGGAACTGTAGTTTTACCTCAATAATGAACGTCAAATGAAAGGCTACAAGGCATTATTTACTACATTGTCCTTTTAAAATTTTAAAAACATTATATTTTTATATATCCCCACAGTCAGACAACCTCCAATGATCATTAAAGAGAGTGTCCGAGACCACATAGTAGATCCAGTTGACCCCATTATAGTGGAGTGTGAGGCAACCGGGAATCCTCCTCCAGTGTAAGTCCTTCCAAACCTCATAGTGTCCACACTTCATAATACATGTAATTCATTAGACTTACTTGATTACTTACCATATAATGATTAACATGTGTTTGTTTGTGTAAAAGGTGCTAAAATATTGACTGAGTGATTCCAGTGAAAAATGCAGTTTTAATGCAAATTCAATTAAGTCTGGTTGACAAATAAGATGTACTGTACATAGCTTCACATGGACACGTGATGGGGTTTACCTGAATGTGGCACGGGATCCTCAGGTCAGCATGAGGCGGCGTTCTGGCACATTAGAGATTTTCTTCTGGGGTCGGCCTGATGACTATGAGGGAGTCTATCAGTGCACGGCGACTAATGAGTTTGGCTCTGCTCTGTCCAGTCACATCCATCTGCGTGTCTCCAGTAAGCCTTTAAACACCATGCAATTGTTAATATAAAACAATGAGTCTATAGATTTTTAAACGTGAATGCTTTGTTTAGAGGCGCGTACGTGGTTGAAGGAGTATCTGGAGCCAGTATCAGTGGTGGTTGGACTTCCTCTCATCCTTCCCTGCAATCCTCCAGTAGGCCCTCCAAATCCCTACACCTACTGGCTGAATAGCAGTAAGTATCTGCCTCAGGTGTTTTAGATTTGAAACATATAGGCCCGGTTTCACAGGCAGGGCTTAGATTAAACCAGAATTAGGCCTTAGTTTGTATAACTGTGCCTTAGAAAATAAAATTACTGTTGTGCATCTTGAAACAAATCAATGGCACTGATGTATTTTAAGATATGTCAGTGCAAGTTACTTTCTGTTAAAACAGCTCAAACATGCATTTTAGTCTAGGACTAGGTTTAAGCCTTGACTGAAACTGGGGGTAGATGATCTAGAGTTATGTCAGTAGCATCAAAATCATACCAGGATGTGCATTTCAAAAGTCAGTTAGATAAAAAAAGTATAATAATGTTGCAAAAGATTCCTTTCTCAAATAAATACTGTTTTTTTAAACTTTTCTATTCATCAAATATTCCTGAAAGAAATTATAATAAATTACACAAAAATATTAAGTGACACAGCCACCAGCATATTATAATGATTATAATGATAACCAGCATATTATAATGATTTCTGAAGGATCATTTGACACTGAAGCCTGGAGTAATGAAGCCGGAATGAAGCGGAATAAATTACATTTGAAAATAGATTAAAATAGAAAAAGTTATTTTAAATTGTAATAATATTTTACTGTTATTGCTGTATTTTTGATCACAAAAATTTTGAACGGTAGTGTATTTTTATCACTAGTCTTCATTCTAATTATATTATTAAAGTTTCTCTAGCCTTAAATAAGCCTTTTATTATACAACCAGTATTTTGTATCCAAGTTCTTCTTTATTCCATAGCTATGACACCAATCCGACAGGATCGTCGAGTATCAAAGGCAGAGAATGGAGATCTGTTCTTCTCCAGTATCGTAGCAGAAGACGCTCTCACGAACTACGTCTGTGTCGCCCGCTTCCCCTTCACGAACACCATCCAGCAGAAACCGCCCCTCATCCTGCAGGTGCTCACAGGTCTGTGTGAGGAACTATTTTTATTCTGCTTTAGAATTAAACTGAGCAAATTTGTTTTAATATTTCTACCTTTGCCTTTTTCTGTGTGTGTGTGTTCAGTTGAGGAAGAACCATGATTAAAACCATCTAACAGTCTAACACATGGTGAGTTAGGACTCTTTCTTAAGTTTCTCTTAAGTGTAAACATGCAATAGGACTTTACTGATCCACTAACTAATCAACAATGCTTTGGCCAGATTTGTAAAGGGTGAAGATTTCTCTCAAATGTTTGTGTAGCTCGCATGGCAGCCCATACGCCACCCAAGTTTCTGAAGCCCAAGGGAACTGTCAGCACAAGAATTGCGATGCTAGGGGAAGAACTTATTTTGGAGTGTTTTGCTGCTGGAGTGTGAGTTTTTAAAGTGTTTTTATGATATATAATGCATTTGGATTGCTTTATGAAAACTGTACATTTCTATTTCTCTCTTAATGTTGTAGTCCGACTCCCTCCATAAAATGGACTAAAGATTGGGACGAGATGTCTATGACTGGAAAGAAGTTGGAGAATTTCAATAAGACGCTTCGAATAAAGAAGATCGGCATGGATGATGGAGGAGAATACATCTGCACCGCTTCAAACAGGATGGGCAGCCTGGACCACGTCATCACTGTCCGGGTCAAATGTAGAATACTTCATTACTTTATTTCTATTGTTCATGTCTGTCACTGTGTGGGTTCACCCATAAATGTAAATTATGTCATTATCTAATCTGGTTTATGATGTTTCAAATCCATATGCTGCCATTTTTTTATATGGAACCCAAATTGGAAGAATGTTCACACATTGACAGTTCATAGTGACCACATCTGTCATTGAACACAAATACATTATTAAAAATCCACAATAATAGTCCAAACAACTTGTGCTATATATTTGCATTTTTCTGAAGAGATTTGTTATGGATGTGTGGGGGACAGACCAAAATTTAAGTCATTATTCACTGAAATTTGCTGAAATATGACACATTTTCCATGCATCACATCTTATTGGACATTTCAAATATCATCAAACATAAATTATGTTTCACCTAATGCTATATTCACAGTACCACTTGAGTCGGTAAGATATGAAAGAAGTCTCTTATGCTCAGCAAGCCTGCATTTATTTGATCATAAACAGTAAAAAAGTGAAATATTATTATTATTATTACATTTAAAATAACTATTCAGAATCCTTCAGAAATTATTTAAAATGTAATTAAAAATAACTGTTCAGAATCCTTCAGAAAGGCTTGTTTGAAACATTGTTGTCAATATTGAAAACGTGGTGCTTAATATTTTTGAGGAAACCAGGATGCATTTCAAAATTCATCAAATTCAAAATTCAAAATCATCGAAATCATCAAATTCAAAATAAAAATTAATTCGAATTCATTTATTTGAAATAGAAATCAGCAACAACAGTAACATTACATTTTTTTAAAATAATATTATTGTCACTTTTGATCAGTTTGGTGAATCCTTACTAAATAAAAGTATTAATTTCTTTAGAAAAATAATTTGAGAATTTCAGCGTATTGGAATATTTTCAGTCAATCCAAACTAGTGTATTCATCACACAAATTTATACCATAACAAACATTTTCATGTTCCACAAAACAAAAAAAAACAAAAAAATAAAAAAAAACAGCATACAGGTTTAAAACAAATTGAAGATGAATGAATAATTAAATAATGACTACATTTTATTTTCAGTATTCCTTTAAGAATGACAAAATCAAGAATGACAAACATCTATTCTCAACTCTTTTGCAGCGGTCCCGTTCTGGGTGGAGAAGCCTGAGAGTCTGGTTCTGTCTCGTGACGACAGCGGTAGTATAGTGTGTAGAGCTGATGGTATTCCTCGACCCCAGATACAATGGCTGGTCAATGGAGAGCCAATCAGTGGTGAGAAAAACAGCAGCTTCATTAAACAAACAGGTGCACTGCAACACATATCAATGCTCACTCTTTCTGTCTTGTCTTCAGATGCTCCTAAGAGTCCAGGCAGGCAGGTTTCAGAAGACACTTTGTTTTTCAGCGCCGTGGTTCCAGACAGCGCTGCTGTGTTCCAGTGCAATGCTTCAAACCAGTATGGCTATATCATGGCAAACGCTTTCTTGGCTGTAATGGGTAAGAGCTAGAAGAGGCTGGATTGAAAACACTTCATTTACATGCACCATTAGCTTTTAGCTTGCAACTGTGCTCTGTCGTCTGCAGATATGAAGCCTCGTCTGCTTAGTCTCAGAGATGAACTGGTTAAAACAACAGAAGGCAATAATACTCATTTAGACTGCCCGTATTTTGGCTCACCTAAACCTGACCTGCGATGGTAAAGAAATTGTCCTACTATCATTCATCTTCATTATTGAACAAAAGGAGGAGTAACTGCATAAATGATTTCAAAATTTAAGTGCACATAAAATATATCCAATTAATATGTATGTATTGTAGGTCAAAAGGAGGACTTGGCACCTTAGAGGGAAATCGTCACATGATTCATCCAAATGGTACATTGGAAATCAGTGACACAAAGCTGCAAGATCAGGGAACATACGTGTGTGTTGCAAGCAATGTCATTGGACGAGATGAGAAGGAGGTCCAACTAGAGGTCAAAGGTCAGTCTCTGGAACAGGTGCTGCATTGAAATTTCTGATTTCTCAAATGCACTGATGTCCATTAAATTAATGTTTTATCCAATAAGTAGATGATATATAGATGCATTTTAATTGTATGCATTTTAATGTTGTGTGTGTGTATGTATATCAAGATGATCTGCTTGTTAAAAGATTACATTTCTTTTATTTTATAGAGCCCATTAAAATTGTTCGTGCCCCACGCAATACTATGGTCACAAGAGGGAGTCTGGCTCGCTTTGATTGTAAGATTAAATTTGACTCGACTCTGGACGTTACCGTTACTTGGCTTAAGGACAAGAAGTTCTTGATTTTAGGAAGAAGGTAAACACAATTAAATCTGACCGCAAGCTTGTAGGAAGTGTTATGAATTATTCTATTGGTTAAATGTATCTGACTGCTTTGTGTTTCTTTAGGATGACAAAGGATGAGGATTCTCTGAGCATTGCTGATGTGTACAGAAGAGATGAAGGCATCTACACCTGCAGGGTTAAAAGTGAACTGGAGGAGGTCACTGCCTCGGCCAAACTCACTGTGACGGGTACCTGCACATTTACTCTCTCTATACACGCGACCAGTATAAACATGAGCATATTATTCATGTATACTTTGATTTTAGACCGGCCAGACCCGCCCAGTGATTTAGAGATATCAGACCCATCAGAGAGGAGCGTTAGACTCACCTGGATTCCAGGACTGAGCAACCACAATCCTATTAAAGGTACATTCACACAAACATAGACGCAAGCAAAAATTCGAAACAATCTAGCCTTACAATGACATAATTTTGTATTAATTTTCTTTCAGAGTACCAGGTTCAATATACTGAAAATCTCCTCGCAGACTATTGGCTGCTGCCGAGCGGCTGGAAGAACCTGACTAGTTACCCAGGCAACCTGAACTCTGTCGTTTTACAGCTAACTCCATTCGTAGAGTACCGATTCCGGGTCATTGCTGTGAATGGCATAGGTCCCAGTAAACCCAGCTGGCCATCTGCATACTATCAGACTGGGGGAGCTGGTAGGTCCTCCTTTTTTTTCTGTGGCACACACTTTTATATGGTTGTGTTTGAGGGGCGCATTAATTCTGAAGACATTGAAGATGCTATATTGTGAACGGATATTGGACATCTCGAACAGTGTTGCCATGGCAAGGAATTAAAGTAATGTCAAAAAGGGAAACGGGAAGATTGTCATATCTTCTAAACAATTAATTATACACAATTTATTTCTTTATAAAATAATTCAAATATTAGAAATAAACACTTTTCAATTAATCACATCTAACATAAAAGTTTGTCTTTACATAATTTGTGTGTAGTATATATACAGTACATCTTATATTCATATACAGTACATCTTATATGCACATCTGTGTTTGTGTGTGTCTGTGTGTGTGTGTGTATATATATATATATATATATAAATACTAGTATAGCCTATTTATATATATATATATATATATATATATATACCTATATATATAATCGCATCTAAAATAAAAGTTTGGGTTTACATAATATATGTGGGTGCACTCTGTGTAATTATTTTATATATATATATATATATATATATATATATATATATAAATATATATATATATATATATATATATATATATAAAATAATTACACAGAGTAAAATATATGTAAAATATATAAATATATATATAAAAATATATATATATATAAATACACACATGCTTGTATATATTTAAGAAATATTTTCATGTATATACTGTATAATATATATAATTTAATATATTAATAATAAATATATAATTTAATAATATTTTTTTCTTAAATTTACATCCATGTGTGTGTATTTATATATGTACAAAATAATTATACAGAGTGCACCCACATATATTATGTAAACCCAAACTTTTATTTTGGATACGATTAATCAAGATTAATCGTTTGACAGCCCTAATATATATGTATATGAGTGTGTGTGTACAGTATACACACACTTATTCACGATACAGCCCTTGCCTCGAGTACCTTATTGCTTTTATAAAATGGTTACCACACTGACCGTTTAGTCCCTGACCGTGAACAGCAACAAAATTCCAATGTGTAATATGCATGAAAGCTCAAACAAAAACATAAGAAACCGCAGTGTTGCGCAGTGATAAATAAAAACGTTGGGTGAAGCGGTCATAGCCATATTTTACAATGAATAAGGCACAGCTATTGACCAGATTCATGGATTGGAACTAATCGTTATATGATATACACACATATACAAACACATATATAATGTAAACACAAACTTTTATATAAGATGCAATTAATCGTGATTAATCCATTTGACAGCACTAGTTTTGTGTCTTTAGTGCCTGATGCCATCCCAAGAAACATCCAAGGATTGGGAAGTGGAGTATTCAGAAATAACATGGAAATCAGCTGGGAGGTGACTCACTGATGATTGATGGATGTCGATCATTTTAATCAAAGTTGTTAACTGTGATGTAATCACATGCATGTGATTTATAGTATTTGTGATGTTTTTCTTGTGTCTGAAGCCACTGGAGTACAGAGAATGGAATGGGCCGAAACTGGGCTACACGGTTTGGTGGAGACGGAGGGATTCGAGGGAGGAGTGGAAGAACTACACAACATACTGGTGGTGTAGCTGCATCATCTATGACACTGACACCTTCACGCCCTATGAAATTAAAGTTCAGGCCATCAACTTCTTCGGCTATGGCCCAGAATCCCCTATTGTGCTTGGTTACTCTGGGGAGGACCGTAAGTTCACATGTACCACAAGTAATTGTTTGGTTTAACATGAGGTTTTGGTTAGTGTTTCACTCATATTGGGTTTCTCTAACAGGTCCTGTTGCTGCTCCATCTGATCTGAGTGTGTCAGACATTGAAAGCACGACGCTGACAGTCCATTGGGAACCAGTGGCACGAGCCGACATCATGGGTGAAATAAAGGAGTACAAAGTATGGCTTCTCCATTGCACAGGTCTATATAGTAAAATGATATGGGCCGCTGATGGAGCTGTGTTTGGTTTCTCAGGTTTATTACTGGAGAGAGAGCAGTCGACTGCCCTGGCACACTGTGAGCAGGAGGATTAAGACCAAGAGTTTTAAAGCTAATGGACCACGTCTGTCTGGGACCCTATCTGGTCTTATCCCGTATAGTAACTACAGGATGTATATTGTAGTGGCCAATAACCGCTTTGAGGGTCCGCCCAGCCACACCATTGAGTTTCAGACACCTGAAGGAGGTATGAAACTCTTCACTCAGTTAACTTTATGGCAAATCAAACACATACAGGCATGTCTTTGTTTCCACTCTAGTGCCCACCATTCCCAGGTCGTTCAGGATCATGCACCGGCACTATGACACCATTTACCTGGACTGGGAGGAACCTGCAGAACCCAATGGCATTCTGACTGGCTATATTCTCAAATATCAGACGTGTAAGTGCACTTACATCACTTTGGTGTCCCGTGACATTTTTTAAAGCATTAGAGGCACAAATCGTATTTTTCCTGACACCTAAGTTTGGGGTGGGTGCGATTTTTAAAGGAAGTGTGATGGGGAATCTGAAATTTCAGCATCATTACTCTAGTCTTCAGTGTCACACGATTCTTCAGAAATCATTCAGATATGCTGATTTGCTGTTCAAGAAACTTTTTTTCTTATTATTGTCAATTTTTTAAGTTGAGCTTCTTAATATTTTTTCAGGATTCTTTTATGAATAAAAAAAATCAAAAGAAGATTTATTTGAAATGGAAATCATTTGTAGCATTATAAATGTCACTTTAGACCAATTAAATGCATCCTTGCTGAAAATTAAAATATTAGTTTCTTTAAAACAAATCTTACTGACTTTAAACATATTACAAAATAATTGTGTCACTCAAACCCTTTATGTTCTCTAATGTCTTTCCCCCCAAAAATTAATGTTTTGATGTTTGTTTATCACTATAAAGTGACAAAAAGACACAAATCCTTTATTTAGCCCTGTAAGACTGATGATATTTTTTCTGTAGTGAACATGACTCTGGGGGACAGAATCCAAGTGGAAAACATTCCTCCTAACATCACCTACTTCTCTCTGCCCCGTTTGGACCGATACACTCGATACAAGTTCTCACTGGCAGCACAAACTGAAGTTGGAGTCGGGGAGGCTTTCACAGAGGAATCACCCAAATTTACTACTGAGGGTAATTTTTCATCTACATTCATAAGATCATTGTCCTGTAAACATACAAAGATTCCTAACATGTCTGCATGATTGCCTGTGTGCATAAACAGAATACACCCGGGAGCAAGTGGACATTGTGACGCAGGGTTGGTTCATTGGCTTAATGTGTGCGGTTGCTCTTCTCGTTCTCATCATGCTCATAGTCTTCTTCATCAAGAGAAGCCGAGGAGGAAAGTACCCAGGTGCAATAGAAATTACGTGAGACAAGTTACGTATATATTTGTAATTATGCATTATATATGTGGCTAAACATATTCTTTTGTTTGTTTGTAAGTGCGGGACATGAAGGACTTTGCACTGGAGCCAATGGATGATAGAGAGAATGGAACGTTTGATTACAGGTGACTGTGTTTGATGAGACTGAGTTTATTTATTACAGACGGCACAGTTTATTTTCAGTGATGCACTTACATGAAAACAGCATGTTCGATACACTAAAGTGTGAAAAATGTATAAATCCTATCATTTATTACATCATAACATGATCACAATATCAAAGGTTGATTTGGAATATGTACAGTTTATAATTCATCACTCCATCCATCAAACATTTCTCACTTTCTTCATTCCTCCTTTATTTTTTTTATGTCTTTTGCGGTTGGACCGCTGAAGGTCTCTTGAGAGGTATGATCCATGTCATACAGAACAAGTGTTGTGTTAACCTTTTAAAAATTGTCTTATTTATTTTACTACAATTAAACTACACATATTCTAGTCTAACTATTAATCTTTTTTAACTGTTTTCACTACCATTCAAAATTTGGTAAAAAAATATACTTATATTCAGCAAGGTTGCTTTAAATTGATCAAAAGCATCAGTAAAAACATGTATAGTGTTAGAATTATTTTTAAAATAAATGCTGTTCTTTTGACATTTCTATTTATCAAATTATCCTTAAAAAATCTGAATATAAGAATGATTTCTGAAGGATAATGTGGCACTGAAGATATTCAAATAGTAGTGTTTAACAATAGTATTTGTGTTTTACTGTATATGTCAAGGCTTTGTTTCCATTACATGAATTGTGACTTGTATCTTCTATATTTACTGCAGGATAACACGAGTGTCCACTATGCCCTATGGCAGACGGTAAGCATCTCTTCAACATTTGTTTCAAACATCATTTGGAACAATGGACATCTACTTACTTCTAAAACTCTCAAATGAATCTCTTCCCCTTTAGTGAGGAGGAAAGTCGACAGGGACGCAGTCAAGGTGTGATCGAGCACATTGACAGGAGAACGAACAGTGACGACAGCCTCATGGAGTATGGCGAGGGGGAAGAGATTGAGTTTAATGAGGATGGCTCCTTCATCGGAGAGTACACTGGTGTCAGTAAGAGGAACATCGACAGGAGCCCGTACCATGATAGCTCTGAGCCCACGTCTCCTGTGGCCATCTACTCTTTTGCTTAGAGCCCACGCCCCACGGTGTCTGATTAAACCACCTTTTACACAGACGGACTAAGACTCGTTTAATCTGTTAGACAGGCTGGAAATGATGTATATAGATGTGTTTTAAAAGTAAAACCGTGTTTCTGGGGATTTACAGAAAAAGTGCCAATCAGGTTTGTTTTTCAAATCCACAAATCATGTGAGAGGAAGCCAAGCTAAGACGTCTTGATGCGTTTATCATGTTGATAAGAAGACGGAAAAGAAATGGCTGATGGAACCATGCTTCGTTAAACAAACTCATGTTCAGTTTATAAAATAACATTCAGGAACAATTCACACACACTCACATTGAAGAGATGTTGAGCATCAAGAACTTCCACAATGCTTCATTTAACCAGTGTCTAATATCACTGATAGATCGTTTCCACTAATTCTTCTTATGTTTTATTTTCCATAGCACCCATTTCTCTGTATTTATCTGTTTGCTGTACTGTAGGTCACATTAATGGACTGCAAACCATTTATTCTCACAAAAAATACAATCTAACCCTCAGCTGCTTATTGTAGTATGATGTAGGCCCCTACGTGATGTTTATTGTATATTTTTTGGAGTCTGGTAAGTAAGAGTACTATCATACGTGTTGTAGTGCTTAAGTTATTAAAATGCATGATGTGAATTAATGAGTTTGTCATAATTACAAATATCTCAACAACAGTTTACAGGACTATCAAGCTCAAAATGGAGAGCGAGGGGGAGATACACACAATAAACTTACCATTAAAAGTAGTCTACTGATCAAGTCAAAAAATAGATTTGACAATCTAAAATCTTGGCCACCAAAGCTCACATATATCCCACATATGGGTTGGAGACTACATCAGAGTGAGTAAACAATGAATGAATTTTCATATTTTGGGTAAACCGCTCCTTTACGCGCCCATTGGGAAGCTGTTATGCCGATATTCTCCACAAGAGGACAGTTGAACTGAGCACGCCACGAGCTCAGCTCCTTAAACATTGATGGACACGCAGACAAACCACAAACCTAAACGTTGAGAATCCACAGTCTATGTAAGTTCTGTATTGTGTTTCATTATTATAACGTTGTCCAAAAAACAGCGTATTTAACAAGTTTTTAATCTCCTTCAGTCACATTTTTTGTGGTAAACAAATAACATGGTTATTTCCTTTTTAAAATTGATTAGAACACTGCTGTAAAGGAAGTTCACGACAATGTGTGAAATATTACCACATACTGCTTAATGACTGACTGTATGACTATTTCTCATGTGTTTTATAACGGTTTTAAAGCCTTTGATTAGTCCTGTTCCCCTTTTCCCTCAAAAATAGAGAAACACTTTAAACTTCCTATGAATACTTCATTTGTGCAAATGTGATAATCCTGTCAGGCCCATAAAGATAAACATACACATACAGAACAGCTGTTTAAAGACTAACCTTTTAGTATCTTTGACATTTACTTCAGCATTATGGTTCTCATATCAGAGGTTATGTAAAAGTGTGACCCTGCTCAACAGTAGTCTGATAGGTACAATTCAAAACTACCTCAATGCCTGCATATGTCATGATGTCATATAGTTTTGAGATGCAACCTTGGTCAGAAGTTAGAAGTAAGTCATTCTTATGAGCGCAGTTTCGATTGGGGCCTGAATCCTGGTTGAACATTTTCATAGATATCAGTACACTGCATTAAAGAAATCTGTAAAAAATGAAAAAGGTACTGGGAATTTTCTGGGAGTATCTTATCCGTTATTTTTACGGACATTTTCTTGGACCCTAAAACACAACACAATTCAATACAAAAAATACTGGTGAAAAATCAATAAAGAAAATTATTTCATAGATTAGCACATGACATCGGCCCTTTTTTACGTGTTCAAAAAAAGGTCTATGAAAAAAAACATTTGCCTACTGATGTGTATCTTAAGACAAAGCAATAGCACTGACACATATATGAAAGTATATATTAAATTCTATATTAAAGTGATTCACAGATTATAATGTTGTATCTTTTACTCATTACATTAAATGTATGTGCAAACAAATACTGTAGACTATATCATAATAGGCTATTAGAATAAAATATAAATATAATTTAAAAACAATGTTTTTGAATCACTACAAATGTGTAGGCTGGGTTTAAAGCATGGTGAACTTTTATTATTCATTGGCCATGCAAGGGATCTTGTTGCATACAAATGGAATGATGATGACCAACTTTACAGATCCTTGAAGCCTGTCATCGAACAGGATGTGCACTGAATATTTTGAAAGTTACTAACAAAGATTTGTAATAGGAATTAATGGTGCATTACATTGCTGCCTGAAAGTTGTGTAAGGAAAACATCTTCCTCTTTCTTTGCGTTTCAACTGCTTATGTTTCTCTGTTGTAAGTCCCTTTGGATAGAAGTGCTAAATGCATGAATGTAAATATAAAGATATTTTACAGTATTTTTTGACTCTCTTTGCAGTGTATGTCACTTTGGCTGAACTCAGTGACAGAAGACTGAACATATTCTGAAGGGTGTGAAGTTTGCCAACATCCAGGACAGGTGACAGTGAGCAGCTTTTATGGGGAAATTCAGTTCTTGTGTGTTTTGGTTAATCATTGGTTTTATGCAGAAGTTCTTTGTGTTGGTGGGGGGGAGGAGGATTGGGGGCGGGTTGGGGTCAGATATAAATGACCAATTCTGCACTTAAGCAATAGCAGACAGAGTTTATTGACTGACCTTGAGTCTTCACTTTATGATGACCAAATTTATTTTTCTAACGGGTAAGTGATTGTTGCTCTTAGAGAATGCTTTTTTAGAGTTTGAATGTTTGAGTTTTTTATATTAAAACGTCAGATGCAAAAGCCTCTAAGTGCCATCTGACATTTTCTAGAATGATCATTTTTATCAAGCTTGTATGTTTATGTTCAGTTATATTCACTTGGCAATGCAAATTACTTATTAATTGCCATTAAAGTGAAATTAGTAAACCTAAATATACGAGCTTGTTAAAAGTCCTTTTTTTAACAAAAAAAAGAAGAAAAAAGGCACTTCACATGTCTATAAGTCTTCATATGTTAAAATTTCATTTGTATCTCTTTTCAGGCTTTTCTTTGGCATTGTGCCACTTTGGTAAGTTTTTTTTTTTTTTTTTTCATTATTAAATATTGTATTCAAAAGGCTTGTCCTTTGTAGGATTGTGGAAATAATAATAATTATTACTATTATTAATTCTGTTTTATATTATTATTAACATTTTTGTAATAAATATTTGTGTAGTAATTTTTTTTTCCTTTTCAGGATTGGCCTTCCAACTGCTATGCTACTTCACAAACTGGTCTCAGTACAGAAATGGCGTTGGCAAGTACCTGCCATCTAATGTGGACCCATATCTGTGCACTCATTTAATTTATGCTTTTTCCGTTATTAACCTGGAAAATAAATTGACAACCTTTGAATGGAATGATGAAACTCTCTACAAATCTTTCAATGGACTGAAGAAAAGGTATGTGGCATCATCTGATGTTTTTTTTTTTTTTTGTAAATATATATGTTTACAGAATAGAATGCATTATGTATTTTGAATAATGATGTTTTTTTCAGCGAATAATAATAATACAAATATTTGTTTTGACAGAAACCCCAGCTTGAAAACTCTCTTGGCTGTCGGAGGATGGAACTTTGGCTCAACTCGGTAAGAGTCCAGCTAAAAATATTGAATATTGAAGGATGTGTGTGTAGAACAGAACTGTTTGTTTCATCGTCATGGTATTTCCCGCCATTACTCTAGGTTTAGTAGCATGGTGTCCACATCAGAAAACAGGAAGACATTTATTCAGTCCTCCATCACATTTCTGAGGACCCATGACTTTGATGGTCTGGACCTGGACTGGGAATATCCCGGTGCTCGTGGAAGTCCTCCAGAAGACAAGCAGAGATTCACTCTGCTGTGTAAGGTAGGCTACTTCATTATTTACGGATATTCTCTCACACAAATCAATGCTCTTTACAACAAGTTGATAACATGGGAGTAAAAAAAGATGATAAATAATCAGAGAAAGAATGAGTATGCATGTACACATGTCCAAAAGTCCACTGTTAAAAAAATGTATTTCCCATTTTTCTATTTAAAAAAGGTTAACACTTTACAATAAGCTTTCATTTTTTACAATTAGTTAACTACATTAGTTAACATGAACTAAGAATTTTAATATTAACTACAATTTTTAAAATCAAAAGTTCTATATGTTAACATTTTCTGTGAATCAAATATTTTATGAACTAACATTAACAAATGTTTAAAAAATGTGTTGCTCGTATTAACTAATGTTAACTAATAATTCCTAATATATATATATATATATAAATGAGGCTAACAAAAACTAAAGGACTTAAAAATTTTAGGAAGTATTTGGTTTGTTCCTCTTTTGCTTTAATGACAGCAGCACTTGAGCTTCATAAACTCCACAAGTTTGTGTAACACCTGATCATGTTCTCCAGCATAATTGAGATGATCCAGAGGAACATCCGACCGTCTGTACAAAGTGTCACATGCTCAATGTCACAAATACTTACCCAGAAATAGTGCAGAACCAGAAATAATCCTTTTTGTTTAATATCATGCATATTTATTAAATTTTTTTTTTTCAAAATCCTAAAGCTTTCTGCTTATTTCCAGGTTTATATTACATTTTCAATATGTATTATAATTAGACTGAGTTAAAAAAGGCATTAATCCACTGCAAATATGTGACCATCACAGGAACTCCGGGAAGCTTTCAAGGCAGAGAGTGCCGCCACTGGACGCCCCATACTCATGCTCAGCGCTGCAGTGGCTGCTGGGAAAGGAAACATTGATGCTGCTTATGAAATTTCAGAAATAGTCAAGTATGTCTCCTGTTCACTTTTTTGTTCACTTTGAATTGAAATATGATTATGCTTTAGATCTCAATCTCAAATGCCAATCAAATATATAAATGGGTGATAACTATGAATTCGCTCTTGTAATGCAGATATTTGGACTCCATTAATGTCATGACCTATGACTTCCACGGCTCATGGGAGACTATCACTGGGCACAACAGTCCTCTGTACCGTGGCTCTGGAGACACAGGAGACAATATCTACTTCAATACGGTACAAAAGCCTTATATCCTACTGTAAAATTTCTGAAATACACTGCCCAGTCAAAAAAAAAAAAAAAAAAGAAGTCAAATGCCTATAGATGGAAATAACATCACAACATTTATTTCCATCAAGAGGTGCATCAATTGTTGGTCAAGATCTTATATTGACAATGCAAGAGTCAAGCACTCTGTAAAGTCTCCTCCAGCACATCCCAAAACGCTTTCAATATATTTAAGGTCTGGTGCCAATTCATGTGTAAAAAAAATCATTCTTCATGCTCCCCTCCCAACCATTCTTTCACAATTTTAGCCTGATGAATCTTGATATTGTCAATATGGAATATGGAACTGTTAAGAACTGTTGTCAAACATACAGTACAACATGCTTGAAACATAATAATCACTGCAATAATGATCAAATCATAGATTTTTATTAAGCATTTGTCTATTCAATTGGCTGGACAGTGTATAACATACATATAAATGATTTATGAATTATACTATGAGTCATTGCAAACAACAAGCAGCTGGAAACATACAACAATAAATAACTGCTTTATCATGACAATGTAGGATTTTGCAATGAAATACTGGAGAGATCAGGGTGCTCCTGTGGAAAAGCTGAGGATGGGCTTTGCGACATATGGAAGAATGTTTCAACTGGCGTCTGCAGCCAGTGGAGTTGGAGCTCCAGCTCTTGGATCTGGCTCAGCTGGACCTTTCACCAGAGAGAACGGATTCTGGTCCTATTATGAGGTCTTATCTTCAATCTAAACTCACGCACTTACATCATAGCACAATATTTAATTGAGAAAAGTGTTATGTACTGATCATCTCCCATCAGATCTGTACTATGCTTAATGGAACCACCGTGCAGTGGATTGATGATCAGAAAGTTCCTTATGCAACCAAGGAACAGAACTGGGTGGGATTTGACACCAAGGAAAGCTTTACGACTAAGGTGAATATGTAATAAATGTTGGAAATTACATACAATTTAATGCAGTTAAATCCTGCTTTCAGTAATTAAATCTGGTCTGCTACAGGTGAACTACCTGAAGGAGAACAAGTTCGGTGGAGCTTTCATCTGGGCTCTGGATCTCGATGACTTTGCAGGACAGTTCTGTGGGCAGGGCAACTACCCTCTAACTGGGCACCTCCGTACACTTCTTAATATTGGTACAGTACATCTCAGATTTATAGAAGCCTATTCCCGCCACATTAGAAAAAAAAAACATGCTTTGATAAATCATAATTATAACAGGAAAAAGTTAATATTATGAGATACTAATTTATAATTATGAGATAGTAGTAGGAAATTGATAATCCTACTCCATAATTTTAACTAGTTATAATTTCCATTTGTCATAATTGAAAAAAACCCTCATACTTATAAATATCTCATTTTAAATTTTATCTCATTAATTATGTGCAACATTTGATTTCAATTTCGACTTTTGATCTAATAATTACGCCATCATTTCAACGTTGTCAGACTTATTAGTCAACTTTAAATTTGTCATGACCTTTTTCATAATTTAAACGGTCATAATTTTGACATTTTATCTCATTACGACATAGTATCTCATCAATTTAACTTTCATATCGTAATTATTATATAAAGAATAGATAATGTATAGTCTGTTCTGCATCACGATTTATTTTGCAATAATAACCGACTGACTGTACATTGTCTTTACTGCACGGCTACATTCCAAATAAAGAAATAATAAATATGTGGGCGTGAAATATTGATCTGAGTTGAAAGTGGTTCATAATATTACCCGTACGCTTAAGCGTAGCCATGGTTGACGCTAAATATTAGGAAATATCACACACTGGATGTTATGTGATTAACCAGTCAGAATCCAGTATTTGAGGGAGATATAATAAACCAGATTAATAATTAGAAAAAATTTCAATTTCCTCCTCCAGAGTTTCCATCTCTCCCTCCAAATACAACGGATGTCCTCAATGGGACCTCAACGACAGCATCCACCACTACTCAATCTTCTAGACCTCAGGTTGTGCCGACGGCTCCCTCAGGAAAGGAGTTCTGTGTAGACAAACCGACGGGGGGAATATATGCAAACCCAGCTGACCCAAAGACCTTCATTCATTGTTCTAATGGCATAACCTATGTACAGAGATGCGCTGAAGGGACCGTCTTCAATCCCAACTGCGTGTGCTGTGACTGGCCTAAGAATTAACCTCACGTTATCACGGTTTGACTACTCAGGGCCACTACTGGCGCAATAATTTCACATTTTATCTTTAAATATTGTGTTAATGTCTTCAAATTTAACAGACAGTCAATGATATACTACTACTTTCGTCAAATATTTTGTTGGGTCTAAAAAAAGTCTTAACTTTTCTGATTAAAACTAACCTGATTAAAAAACACCTCTTGTCCACTTATTTTACATTTAGAGGGTGACTGCACCTCAGCGTGGGTAAAGGTATTCAGTGTGCAGGTTTTTACTTATTTATTTGAATTTAGATTCAATTTGGTTCTAGATCTGATTCCAATTTTAACGTATTATAAAATTTAGAATGTTTCTAAATAGGAACTATTCATAAACATTGATTATGTATTCATTTAGATATTTGATTATTCTAGGTATCCAATACTTTCAATAATTTGTTCATTGGGGACACAATGCGGGTTGATGGGACACCCGGGTCTCCCCCTCGGGTGAAATCATGTTCCTGGAGGAACTGCAATACGACCGAAGGGGCACTTTACTATTAGAGGTTAATGGGGCAGGGGCTCAAGTCCTCCACCCCCCTGTGCACGCCACTGTCCCATTCTCAATCTCACCGGAGACCTTGTGAGAAGCACACTTTAACAGAATTCTCAATCTTTCTCACAATATAAGTGACTGCTGTGAAAATGAGACCATTTTAGCAACCACATTGGGACATTTAAAATGAATGATGGCACACATGAAAGGGAAAAGGCAATAGATGCACTGGATACATCTTATAGGCAATGTATATAGACATTATTAGTGAACTTTCAGCAAGGGTGAAAGGAAAAGGTGTTCTTGCTTCATGATCTTTTCTTCAGATTAGCAATTTTATTGTTTTGTTGCAGTTTTTTCTGGGAGCTCTTGTGTTCAGTCTGACAGAATTTCGGTAATACGGTAACCATTGTGATGTGGTTAATTTTTAAACACATTTTTAGGTGAGATATTTTTAGATACAGTTTTAGAATATTTATAAGGAATTTCAGTCTTACATTAACCGTTGTGAAGTGGGTTATTTTTAAACGTTTTTAGTTAAGATATTTTAGATACAATGTAAGAATATTTATCAGAAAGAAAAAATAAAGAATAAGAAAAAACACATCTCTGTTTGTATTAACAAAAATATGTATTAATTTAATCTTAACATTCATGAAATTAAATCAATTTCATAAAAATATTCAATGCAAAACATTCATCGTTATTCCAGACATTTCAGTGCAAACAATATCTAAGAATTCAAATAACATTCAATAACAAACAATAACAATAGGTGTTGAGCTACAGCTTTGTGATTCATGTGACATCCGAAACTAATTTTTATGGAGACAGACATAATAAGTCATAGTCTAACATAATATCTAATGATAATCTATTGGCCCATACTGCAATTTTTGACTTTCAAAAAAATCAATCAATAACTTAAAAAAAAAAAGTATAGAATAACTATATAGAGAGCTGTATTTCTCAGAAAGTTGGTTCAAAACACCAAAGCAATGTAAATCTGTAATGTAATCAATGCAATGTAATCTGACAATGTAAAGTCAGAAATAAAAACTGTGCTTTCGTAAGCAGAGATAACTAGTGAGATGTTTGTTTCAAACACTATCATGTCCACTGAAACCAGCAACACTTTAAAACACTTTCAAACAAAAAAAGTGACTTCTATTCTATTAATCTTGAAAACTACTCATCACTTATTAATGATCCATTCGTCATCATAATGCCCATTTTGTCTGATATATTTGCATAGCTAGCTTATTCTTTTTCAGTGAAGGAGCTCAGTTGAAGTGTAATTGTCCTTAACAATGCTTTGTTTTTGGTCAGGGTGGCTTATGTTTGCATTTAGTCAGACTCATGACAAAATGCAATGACAAAATTACTACTTAGGGTAATAACTAACAAAGTTTTTCAATCTGAGCTCCTTGAGCTTTGTTTTAAAAATTTCACTCAGTGCTTTGAGATTAGTGTAAGTAACATCCCACCATTTACAGCTCATGCTGGCTACTGTGAGGAGGCGGCAACTTCCTGATGTCATTATTCTGGATGAGCTGGAAGTAGAACTGCACGATCTCTTCATAGTTCTGAATGGAGATTCTCTCGTTCACACCATGGAATCTAAAAGAGGAAAATGTGCCCTCAAGCTGGATACTCCACTGCATTAATACAAAGAGCCATTCTGTCCTGTGTCTTACCTCTGAGGATCACCTGGTTTGAACCACGATGGTGCAAAGCGATATATGTCTCGGGTGATATCCTTGTAGTGACGGCTGTCAGTGTTGCCAACACAGATACCTGTGAAAGGAAAGCGACGAGACGTGACTAAAAGTGTCTCTTCATAAGGGGAACTTAAACAGAAATGCATCACTTCACTTACTAGGAGCCACTGTGAGCCGAGGAAACATATTTTGCACCGTTTTCTTTATGATCTGGAACCCAAAAGCCTGCTCATCATAGGAGCTGATGGGCAGCGGGTCGAATCCATTGACCATCTCTACCTTCACACGCTCATCTGATATGGTGGACTTGACCAAATCCAAAACCTGCAAGAAGACCCCAAAAATGAAAGTTCTGTCTTTTACTCATCCTCACATCATTCCAAACACACACATACAAAGACATTTTAAAAAACAATGGGGTACAAACAGCTGGCCTTTCATTGTATGGACACACATATCTTATTTTGTGTCCCATAAAAAGAAGCAGTTTTTCAGTCAAAAATAATTGTAATTTTCAGGTGAACTATCCTTCTACAGTTTTTTATTCAGAGTAACTCATGTGAAACTGGTTGAGAAGGTGTGAAGAGCAAAAGTTAATAGTTCATCTAACTCTAGCCGGGACTAACTGTGCTTCAAGGCTAACTGAATGAGTCATAGCTGTGGCTTCAGCGTGACCTCTCACCTCCTGCAACGTTTGGGCTGAGTGGATGCGGAAATTGACAAAAGCTTCAGCGTATGACGGGATTACGTTAATCTGTAAGAGAAAGAGAAATATTCAGAACTCCATTCATGCTGCAACTAGGTGAAGTTAAAAAAAAAAAGAGTGCCCCACCTTTACACCCGAGTTGAACATTGTGACGGCAGTTGTGGTCCTAACAAAGGCATTTGTGTCAGGTTTTCTCTCTAACACCCTGCATATCAAAAGGACACCAATGCTATTATTATATTACTATGACAATGGTTTTCCTGAGTATTTAAAAGCTTATGTTGGTGTTTATTTACAAAGTTAGTGTTGGTTGCAATTAATTAATAACAGGTTAATCATATGTTAAATATTTCACATATATCCTGTTATGGCAAAGTGTATTCTTCTGCAGTCTCCAGTCTTCTGAAGACTATAATCGAGGAGTTTATAAACAGTGCTTGCTTATACTGTATAGAGAATTACTCCATTTGGAGTGGACTTTGTAACTTTGCAGATATTTTTCATGAGCAAACAGCAGCATTGCACACTAAAGAAAGTTGAAAATGTAAAAAAGCATAATAGGTCCACTTAAAGGGATAGTTCACTTTGAAATTAATTTTTGATATGTTTTATCTTACCTCAAGGGCATCCAAGATGTAGGTGTCTTTGTTTCCGCAGTAGTTTCAAATTTGATATATTTAGGTCAAACCGTTCTTGTCTGTCAGTCATATAATGGAGGTCTATGGTCACCACCTCAAAGAGCATGCACAGAGAAGTCCAAATTAAACATGATTTAATGACTCGTAAATGTAAGTACACATTGATGGCCTTAGACACGAAACGAGCGGTTTGTGTGAGAAAATGAACAGTGTTTATTTAGTTTTTACCTCTTGTTACCATAGCCACAAAGCACCCGCGCCCTCAGATCACTTGGACGTGGCTGTGGTTACAAGAGGTAAAAACGAAGTAAAAGTGTTCGTTTTCTCACACAAACAGCTCGTTTCGTGTCTAAGGTCATCAATGTGTACTTACATTTACGAGTCATTAAATCATGTTTAATTTGGACTTCCCTGTGCGTGCTCTGTGAGGTGGTGACCATAGACTTCCATTATATGACTGATAGACACGAACGGTTTGACCTAAAAATATCAAAATTGAAACTACTGCGGAAACAAAGACACCTGCATATTGGATTCCTTGAGGTAAGATAAAACATACCGAAAAATAATTTCAAAGTGAACTATCCCTTTAAGTTAACTTCGGTGGTCGAAATCATTTTCAGTGCAGGAAAAATCCTGTATAAAATATACTTTGATATGACATTAGAGACTGTAGTGAGCATTAAGACAACCAATATGAACTACCTGCTGAGTAGCGGAGAGAAAAGCCACAAATTAGACATGATGAATCTGAGAGGCAAGCCAAACTACGAAATAAAACAAGAGAAATGGTTTGTTGAAAAGCAAGTCCGTATTTCTTAAAATGCAGCCTGTAAAATCCTCTGCTTAATCACTTTTACCTTATGCGCCAGGTGTTCAAATGTGCCACGCTCAGGACCATAACCAAACAGTCTGGGCATCGGATTTTCCTCCAACCTGGGAAAAGATATTACCGAAAACATAACTTTAGCTCAATTTAATACTGCTGCCATGAGAATAATTTAATAGCAATAAATAAATCACTAAACAAAACATCTAATAAGAAGAAAAAGGATCCATCTTGAAGTATTTCCAATAATAAAGCGTTTTAGGGGTTTCCACTTGCCTTCTGACGGCTGAAGCCAAGATGCCAATGCTGCTCTCTCTGGGAGGCATGGATGAATGTCCTGGAGCGCTGCTGACACTCAGCTTTACCGTGGCCTGACCCTTCTCACTGATACCTATCCTACAAGACACACACAGGGAAAATATTACAAACTAATTCAATCACTAAATTACTCTGCTAATAGAGTATCTCAAAATAAGTCTCACAGGGCAGCAGGTCCATCCAGGCCACTTATGATACCGTCCAGCACTGCCAGACCTTCATCTAAAACATACTGGAGCTTCACTCCTCGACTCTTCAGGAGCTTCACGATATTGACTGCGCCATGTAAGCCACTCACCTGACATATAACTGTATAAATAAGTGCATCAAAACAAGTGACTACTAGTCAATTAACTTGAGACTGACCTCCTCATCGTGACCCAAACCAATGTA